CACTTCCAAAAAGTTAAAAGAACGAAAAAGAAAAAAATTTGATGGTTTTTAGAAACTGAAGAATTTTTCGAAATTAAAAACTCGAAATTTTTCAACTTTTCGACTCGAAAGTTTTTTTTCAAACATTGAAATACATTTTCTTTCAACACGAATTTGCGCATATGTTTATATTGAATCTATAGTTTACTCCTGTTTATTTCAATCGTCAAGATGTACATACCTGCATACACACACGCACATATACACTGGTTGCTACGAGACTGACTATAAGAACTAGAGCTGCAGAATCTGCCTGTTTGCTCCGATGGATGATGGAAGAAAACGTATTGATTCGGGGAAATGTTTCGAAAAACTGAAATTTCTTTCTGCAAATATTTTGCAAAAAGAATTTCTGTTTGTGGTTTATGTCGGGAATTTTTTGAAAAACTTTGTCCGTCAAGAGAAATTTTCCTGTCTCACTTCCGTAAATTAACCAACCTTTTCTCTTGCCAATCAGTAACTCCTCATCTATTACTCGACAAACGTGTAGTAAGCACAAGCATCGTTTTCACACATTTTCAAATACTCAAACAAAATGTCATTACTTTCCTGCAATTTAAACTTATTTATGAGAAATAATTTTAATATGACAACGCATAAAAACAAAACAAATTATAGGCATATGTACAAGTAATAATGTTAGTTTTTTCCACTTGGCACGATTGTTACATTTTCCTTTTTCAAACCATAATCAACACATTGACTCGGTATTGTTGGATATAATTTTTGTGCTTTACTTATCAAACGTTTAACAGCTTGAATATATTTTCGCTGTGTTTCATCGTTTAATACATGTGCAACATATTTCGAAGCAATTTTCTCACGACCAGGACGCGGATGAATACCCACCATTGTAGCACCCAATGGCCATGGTGCATTACCAATAGCCATTTCAAGAAAATATTCATTCGCACGTATATAATTACGTCTTAAGACACAATTGACAATATTAATTAATGCTTCTAGAATATCATCTTGTAGAGTATTTGATTTTAATTTTCGAAATAATGGTTTCATATATCCCAATGTTTGTGTATGTAACGCTGTTTCTATTTTTCCTTGAATTGTTTTCTTTTCATCAATATCACGTGCATTCAATTCTTGTGCCCACTTTTTCAATAAAAATTTAAAATAATTTAATATCACTTGGCAATCGTACGCTCGATTACCTTTTCGTGTAGTTTTAATTTGTTCAATAATATCTGGTAAATCAAAACCTTCATCTTTCACTTCGACTGTGATTACTGTTGGTGTTCCATTTGCTTCCAAAGATTTATCATCAACTGTCGTGTCTGATGACGAAGATGTTGGATGATTGGCATGTAAAATTAATGATAAGTATTCTCGATCAATTTTATCCATAGCTAAAGCGTTAAAAAAAAGGTGTTACTTGGAACAAGAATTGCAGAAGGAACTCCGGATATGTCAGTCATGCATCATGATTATTAACCAAAACAAAATCATCTCTCATTATATATAATAAACAAACCTTTTTAGATTTATATCTTAATATATGTGAAAAATTTCGTTTACCTGCTTTGAAATCGTTTCGTTGTCCTTTTAATTCAGGTTCCATTGTTTCTAATAGACGTAAACGTTTGTACGAATCGATATCTGATTCACCAAAGAGACGTATTGGTTGATTACGTTCACGAAATTTTTTAATGATATCTGAACGAGGTGGTAATTGTTTTTCAGTTGACGCTGGTTCCTCCGTATTTAGAGAATGACTATTCATCGATGACGATACTTCATTTGTGCTTGATGAGGTGGTAGAAGATGTTGACGATGTTTTTACAGAATCAACATTATTTTTCGAGTAATAATTTTTCCAGTATATTTCTTCATTTTTTGCTTCTAAATCACTGCGTCGAAAACAACGTTTTTCTGGTAATAAAATATTTAAGGATTCAACATTTTTACGTTTTTTCTCAATTTCAGCTTTTAAAAAACTTAGATCCATCTAAAATATACAAAATATTAATCTGAACAGGTTTTGAAAAATGAGTCATCATAAAAGATGTTGGTTTAGCTGCAAAACAAAATAAATAAAAATAATTGTAGTTAAAACAAGTCGAATCTACATGTATTATTTCTGCGTTAGTTATTAAAATCCAGAATGCTTCTGACGAATAAACAAACTGAATATTTCAAACTTCCATGCTTTCCAATGTCACTCGTATGGTTCATGGATCTCTGGCTCATTTGTTTCTTTACTTCACGATTTGTTGACGGTATCTAACAGATTCATTCTCAAGTTTTAAAGCCACTAATAGATTTTAGTGTTATCTATTAGATTCTGGAAAACAAACTTTTAGGCAGGAAAGAATCAAAATTATGCTGATCAACTAAGCAGAAAAAATATGAAAAGTAACACAGGGTTTTTACTCATTAAAATAAACTTTATCAGTATAAAACAGACAAAAATAACGTGAATAGGCAACGCGAAGGCAAACCAGCATTACACGCTCTGATAAATAATAAAGTAAGCAGGAATAAACTGTACGTTGTTCCACAAGATTAAAAAGAGAACATAAATAACGATAATATAGAAGACAAGACATAATAAATAAAAATAGAGAGAATGAGACGCAGGTTGGACTTATTCTAATTAGATTCATAATTTTAAATATATGCTTTATTTTTTTAAAATTATAAAAGTATGTTTTTCAGTCGAGAGCAGAGTGGAATCGATGGATTATGAGATCATACCGCCATTGAGTAAAATTCGATTTTCTCCATGAATATGTCACTTTTTGGAGTTTTAGTTTCGTGATCAGCTTATAATTCTGCATCATTACAAATGATTTTGGAAAACTCCCAAACCAAAATTTTTCAAATTTACTAGACCGAAGTCGTCAAAAACCTCACCTTTGAATTTCAGAAAACTACTTCGAGAAAAATGTTCGATGTCGTTGAGAGGCTTTTCATGACTGCTAAAATAGACTCTTACTGGAGTCGAAGTCTAAATTTCAAGAAGTCATTCTCTCATAAAATACCAGTCATTGACGATTTCCTATAAAAAAACGTATTGATACTACATTATAAATTAGTTTTGTTTTTCAAGAATTGCTACGGCGGAAGTGATGTATAATCCAAGCATTGTTCTCTAGTGGATGTATCTGCGTACGAGTACTTGCATGAGTACTCTTGCAGGGTTTATCTAGTGTATATGGGATTACGTGCAAGTAAATCAGGTACTTGCCAAGAAAGCAAGTATTTGAATTATTTTACTGTCAAGTAACCTGCGCGTACTTGTGAGAGGTTCAACAAGTAAACCAAGTATCGGATAATTACTTCCCAGTACGTGCACAAGTAATGATCGAGTAGCACTTTCGAAAATACTTGATAATTTTCTGTAACACTTACCAAGTGCTCGCTGCGCACTCATAGAAATTCACAAGTAAACAGATACCACTAGTATTTTTAATATTATGGTGAACAAACGGGTTTTCTATCGTAATTTCTGATTGTAACGTGAGCTTTGATTGAATTGCAAATTCTAACTGTAAAATTTCTACTGTGACGTTCATTCCACTGTGGAAAAATCCATACTAAAAATCTTTATTCAAAATACTGAGTACAGGTTCGCGAGTACATACTAGGAGTAAAAGTGTATTAATAGACTTTTTAACCGATGGACGTAATTGGACACTTTCTTTTACTCTGTCCTGCCCTACGATTTCCTAACGATTCAGAATTGAATATAACTATATCCGACGGTGATTTTTACCACAGCAGTTTCAACACAGTTCCCTTTGCTTCAGTCAACGAAAAACGTTGGGTAACAGACTGATGTGACCGATTAGGAGATCTCATATTGTTTTGTCTTTTTCTGATTATAGATATGCTTTAGTGTGCTATCACTTAAATGCTGTTTGATATATGGTACTGATGTAAATACAATTGGCCGCTTGACCGACTGATTGATTACACCGGATTTTTGGTTGGTCAGCCTATCATAAGTGTGAAGACTTATGTACATATACACAGGTTTCTTGTAGTATTCGATGTAACGAGTTAGCAACTAAGTAATTTACCTACTCCAATTTTGTTTCATTTATCAACCGAACTCGTATCGTCTAAGTACGACCTCTCTCCGAGTATTTTCAATACTTTTCGATGAAAGCAAAGATTTCATCGAATGAATGAAGACAACTTTAAATAGGGTTTCTTTTCTTTGTTAACGGCTGATGTTTTCTGCCTTTTGTGAAAGATTCTATACAAAACAGGCTGCTGAAGGACGAAGCTTTACAGATGTCGAATGAGCGCTGGTGTGAAGCCAGCAGAAAGTGATGCTAGATTACGTTGAAGAAAGGATTGCATCGAACTTCAACCACTGAGTGCTTACCTCGTTGTGCTTTATCTTCTATTTCGACGGCATAGCACAGCGAAGTTACTCCAGTGGTTATACTTCTAGTTTGTGTACAATTTTTTTTTCATTGGACAATTTACAAACACCAAGACATCTAGAATTTATAATGACATGAATATTGATATTTCACTCACTCATTCGTTACTTCCTACTCCTCTTCCTTTTGACATTCCAAAATTAGCAAATAAAATAGAAATATTTTACATATTTTTCATCTTAATATTCAATGTTTTTCGTTTTTAATATGGAACGATTGATAATCGTACTGAAAATATGCTAGCATAGATTTCTTTTTACAAAATCGTAGATCAAAGAAACCTTTTCACTGCGAAAAATGTTCGAAAGAAAATGTCTCTTTTGCTGATCTCACAATACTGAAATTGGAAAATAACTTTAGTCCATTCTTTAGCCAAAAATGAATTGAAAGTGTTAAATAGTTTTATTGATATTTTTATTTAAACTCTCTCTACTTAGACCACACACCGCAAAAGTAACTCAGTGTAAAAAGATTTGCGTTATGAATGTAAATGTTTGTTTTTCATTTTTTTTCCTCTTCTTCTCCTTTGGAATACGTGTATATAAGAATGATTAAACTCAAAAAAAGTGAAGTGCTAGATTAAAAGGGCGAAAATAAGAAAATATTTAATAAATTACTGCATATTAGAGGAAAGAGGCGTTATAGGAATGCTGATACATTTTTCTGAAATTATTAGGCTGTTTATAAGTACTTTCAGTTTAGTAAGAAGAAATCGGTAACAAATAATGTTCTGTTTCAGATGTTTGTTAAGATTTGTAATATTAGACATTTATGTTATTGAGTTTACTTTCTATATTACTATTTAGTCACATTTGGCATACGCTGTTACGGTAGGGCAAGCAAAACTAAGGATCTAAAACTGTTGTTAGAATATGACAAGTTTTGTCACCTTATTATACTTAATGAAAAAATTGATCTGATCGCAAGTACATATTTACTTTAACAACAATATTTATTTTTCTATTTTCTCTTTTATTCATTTGTTTCTATTTTCTATTGTTCATTCTCAGTTGTCGAGGGTATTTTTACCTTTCAACAGAACAATATCTCCAATCTTTACAATTACACAGCATTCCTCTTTTTTTTTCCATTGTATATACTACAATTAGATGCCACATATTAATTAGCTAAAAAGTGAGATACTTACCACTAGAAATATTACACTTGTTTCTTATTATGTAATAAACGTTATCCATTTAACCACAAAGATGCACTTGATAACAAAATTTCTTCTCGTCAGATTGTTGTTGAACTTTTAAGAGACGTCGATAACCACCGCCACCGCTTCTGTATATGTACACTCTTCTATTCTCCTTTTCTATTGAACATATTTGCAACAGGTATTTTTTGTTTCGTTCTTGTATAATACAAGAAATAAACTTTTTTTAACGCCTACTACATGAGTTGATCGTATGTCTATCATCTTTTTTTTCATTCGAATATCATGTCGTTTTATCATATTATGGAAAATAAAATCTTCAAAATTTTTTAGAATAAAAAAATATCCATTCATATGAATGGCAGAATCAAATTTATATTTGCTCTCTCTATGTACCTATAGTGGGTGAGATGATGCAGTGACATTTATATCTCTCACTTTTATTTTAGATCAATACTTCGTGTTTATTATTTTCAATACATCGTTTTTATTTTTTCTCTCTTTTATTGTTGTAAGTTTTTCTCTCTTCATCTGATTTGATATGAAAAAACAAAGGATAAGCAAGCATTATCCTTTGTATATGTAACTATGTATATGTAAACTTATCTTTAAGAAAATACTAAATTATGATCATATTTTGTGTAACATAAAAAACGAATTATACGTGACAAACAATGAGTTGGGGTATTGAACTCTGGGTAAGTTTGATCTATTCTCATATTCGACTTTCACTATATTTTTCTCATGCAGGATCAATTTGAAAATGTTTCAAAATTTACCGATAAAAGTATCCAATTTTGTGAAAGATATGAATCATTTGTTAAAGATCGATGTACAATAGAAGAAGATTATGCCAAAGCACTTAAGTAAGATTCCAGTATTATTTTGAATAAGAACGTTGCTTATTCTATTAACTTTATTAAACAAGTGTCTAGTCTGTCATTTTATCACTTTAAAAAGCATCTTGTTGTAATATCTAGTTAAAAGTAGAACGTGAATGACAGCAAAATTTTCTTCTACTTCAAAAATATCTAGTTAGACTAACTGACGCTGAAAAATTCACTGTGATCTACATATTTGTTTTAGAAAACTTACAAAATCTTATCAACCAAAACGTAAAGAAGATGAAGAGTTTTATGGCAAGTAAGATCCAATTCCTAATTTAATTGTTCAAGCCTGTTGTTTACGGTTTCATTTAGATATTCTTTTACAATTGCCTTTATCAATACATTGAAAGAATTACAAGATTTAGCTAGCCAACATGAATTAATATCTGAAAATTTAAAAGAACGTGTTATTAAACAAATACAAACAACTGTTAAAGAATGTCGGGAACAACGAAAAAAATGTCTTGATGAATATACCAAAATAAAACGACAATTAGATAAACAACATGAACTGATGACAAAAGTATAAATGATTGAGTAATATGATTAGCAATTGTGTCGTTTTTCGTTGTTGTTTGTAGGCTCTTAAGAAGTATGATGAAGCTCATGATTCTGCTCGGCGTGCAAAGGATGGTTACGAAAAAGCACATGAAGATCTCGATCTATCTCGTGCTCAATTAGAAAAGGCACGTGATGCAATGACAATAAAATCCAAGTTATGTGATGAATCAAAAACAAATTATTCAACAAATGTTCAAGCGTTTAACGAAGTACAACGTATTTTCTATGAGCGCCAACTGCCATCGGTTTTAAATGATTTACAAGAGACTGATCATAAACGTTCAAATGAATTAAAAGATTGTTATTTTAAATTTATTCAGTCAAACTTAGAAGTGTTACCTCGCGTTGAGAAATGTCTAGAAGAAATGCATAAACAAACACAACTGATTAATTCCATTCAAGATTGTAACATTGTTATTGATGATTACAAATCGGGCTATTTGATACCAGATGATCAAAAAGAAATTGATTTAAACGATAACGAATCGACATTTACAACACTAGTAAATAATAGTAACCAAAATCATAACAATAATAACATTACAGAACAACAACTGTATAATATCAATTTAAATAATAGCACATCACTCGATAGCGCAAATGGTTTAGGACGGTCGAATACGTTGCGAAGTACGGGTAGTGATCACAGTCAAAATGGACAAACATTGTATGTTGGAAGTGCCGGAGGACAAGTGAATGGTATTCTGAATAGTAATAATACACAAATACTCGTTCAACCAACGAAAGGAACAGGAAAAAAAGGAACGGCAAATACAATACGAAAAATATTTGGCGGCGGAAGTTATAATACACAACGGAAGGTAATTAAAAAGATATAAAAGACAATAGCTATTTGTAGATGTTTGAGAAACCACATCCCCACTGAGCGAAAAACAGTTGGACTGATCAGGGAGGTGTGAGACTTTGGTAGTATACAATTAACAATTGACAGAGAATATCTTGCTGGCTTTACTTTAAATATTAAGTCAATCTGAAGTACTTGCCATATAGGTTTATTTCAAGTATTATTTGTCTCATAAATCACCATATTTAACTTTCTGATGTTATATTTCACTTTCTTAGACTATTCTCGTAAGTAACACACATAGTTCTTTGTTTTGTTGTAGTAGTGCTTTGAATGTGCTTTTTTTTATACATGCAAGTTTTTTTTGGTAGATGAATGATTTATTTTTAGGAGAAAAATATTTATGCACGTATGGACTCAAATATCCATTTTAAACTACTATTTTGTTAATTTCTTTATGCCTTCTAAAACCGAACTTTGATCAGTTTAAATCAACAGTTGTATATTCAGTTTTTTTGAAGAAAGATATATAATTTTTATTCGAAACGATAGTGGAACAAATCATTGCGGATTCTTTAAGCTTTTAATTCTTGCCTTTGATTAGTGCACTGTTATGTAGTTTTCTTTTTGCACGCCATAGCATTTACAAATATTAACACATTCACTGCGGTATACATTGACTGACGTATTCACGTCATATATTTCAGTATATGTGGCAGTGAATGTGTTAATAAGTACAGAAATGCACTCAGAACTGTAATTGTTTCGATTAAAAAAACAAATCTTCTATTAGAACATGTTGTTAGATCGTGGTCTCTATATTCGTGTTTATTTACTCTTTTGTTGATATGTTTTGTTGGCTTTTTTTTAGCCCAATGGATCAAGTTACGGTCAAATACCAGCTACCACACCCTATGGAACTCTTCCACCTGCTCAGCGTGTAAAAAAGTTTCAAGAACATATTAACAGTTGTAAAGTGGATTTGGATAAAAAACAAAAAGCCAGGTTACATATTTTTTAACATCAGTCTTTTTCTTATCATATAAATTGATCTTTGTCTCTTATTTAGAGAAGGACTATTAAAAATGAGAGCTGTTTTTATGGAAAATCCAAAGTTTGGTCCTGAACAAGAAGTCAACGGACAACTAGTGACCATTGAGGAACAAATTGAAAAATTAATAGCTGAAATAAAAAGATTTGAAGTAAGTCTAAACATTAACCCAATCACTGTTAAAAATTGTCTGTTTTTCAGTCTTATATGCAAGAGCTAGAACGTTCGAGATTATCCGATGCCGATTCACGTTTACGTGCTAACTATGGTTCTGATTTATCTATTGGACAAACAAGTATAAATTCTAATCCAGGAACACCCGCTCAAAATCGCAGGTAAAATTAATACAACGTTTAATTTATTTATCATGCTTTTTTTTGTGTACGTGTGCCGTGACGTATCAGTTAAGATATATACACTTGTCATTCACTCTAGCACAATGTATTCTCGTCCCAATTATGTTGCATCAGCAGCATATAAAAATTTTAATCATCGTCTGTCATCGTCAGCAGCGAATAATCTTATAAAATCGACTATGAATAATCGACGATGGTCCACAATTGGGTAGGATCAATGATAGTTTGCACGGCTCTGTAATTCTTGCTGTATCGAACGTTCATCATAGGAACACATATACACAAGCATCAGTTCCATCAGTTAATCAGTTTCAAGCTTCACTGATACGCACATTCAAACACACACATCTGTTTCTTTTAGCATCCCAGATTACGATAAACGCTATGCACTTGAGCCAATTTATCAGATCTACCAACCTTTAAGGTTCGTCTGAATATTTTTCATCGATACAACACAAATATTAACCTTAAGTGCTTTTAATTTCTGACTTATGGTTCTACTTGAATTCCTTAAGAACGAAAAATAACAAACAACTCGTTTGTTTATTTTTGAAAACTTATATTGATTGAAAATGGATATTATGGAGTTTAGTATCAAAAGAAACGGGTTCTCTTTAGTTTATTGCTTGAATCAATATTTCATTTGATATTGCGCTGGTTTATCTGTTTTCTTTCAAAATTAATGCCTGTACATCTACCATACTAATTATTTATTTATTTCTTCGAAAGATCTATCTATTCGTTATACATAACTTCTTAGAATATTATCCTATTTGATAACTAAGCCTTCTCCTTTTTGCTTTCAAGTTTCTTCTGAATTAGTTCTACATTTATACTCTCTCAATAATTATCTTGCTTAGCAATTATCTTTTACGTTCTAGTCCACCAGATATATCTGACCATGGTACGCCTAATCAACAACAAACACATTATAATAACAGTACTAATAAAAATTATTACAGTCATTCATCAACGTATCAACGTTTACCGTCATTAAATGCAACAACGACTGAACACGCTTCGGCAAGTCTTTCACCAAGAACAACAAACGATCGTCGTTCACCATCGTATGATCATTCATTAAATGCATCATTCGACGAAGAAGAACATTCGATTAACGAAGATTTATCATTACCATCTTCCGGTCCTGTAACTGTACATAACCGTTCAACTATTTCTGTTGAACAAACAATACGATCGAAAGCATATGTTCTCTATGAATTCAATGGTAAGATTAAAAACTGATGAAACTCATCAATCTAAATAGCAAATTTTGTTTTTTATTTAAGGTAATGGTAGCAATGGTCAATATGTAAATGCTGTATCCATTTACGCAGGCGAAACTGTCGATATCCTTGAACATGATCAAGGTGATGGATGGACGCGAATACAAAAAATAGATGGTACAAGTGGTTTTGTACCGTCTTCTTATATCAAACAAATTAGACAAGAAGATGATACAATAACAACACGTTTTGAAACTGGCCGATTTTAATGTTTATTTTTTTATTACGTTCGTTTTGTCTGTTGTTTGTGTGTTTTATATGATAATGTTTTTTACCTGCACATTACACTATCGTTTTTTTTTACATTTTCGTAATTAGCGCTCTTGAACAAAAATTATCTGCCAAGAAATGCAAAACTTTGTTGCTCAATGTTCGTTCTCTCTCTTTTTTTTCCGCGTTTCAATGTATGTTCGCATTAATGTTTAACAAAAGAAATTTCCTGTTATCTTAGAATTGAGCGTTTTTCCATTTATAGTTTCACGACGCTGGCCGTCTTTAAATATTAGACTAATCAAGTACAGTAGAGGATGAAAGATACGTTTATGATATTTCGGTCAGATACGACTTTGAGTTTGAGAACTAATTTAAATCAAACAGAAGGACTCTTTTTATTACCTCCGTCCCTATTCCATATTAAATAAGACAAATTTTGCTTGAGCCAGATTCATAATTCTACCTTCATCTTAGTGTTTATGTGTATCTCAACACTTTTTCACGTTTATATTTATTATCTTTTCGTTTTTTTTTCGCTCATATTCTCTAATGCTCAAACAATACAAAACAAAAGCCTTTAATATTAGTTTTCGATTTTTGATGGAGCTAGTGGTTTTTTTCTTTGCGAACAGTAAACCAATGAATGAATAAATGTCAATTTATTGTTGTATATACATATATATATATATATGTGCCTATTATTCATTGAAAACTGACATGTCCTAAAGTTGTTCAATATGTTGACAATCGTCCAGTTAGCTCTATTTTTGTAGAGAAAATTGAAGTATTGGATCAAAACGAATTATCTAAACCTAGCACATCTCTCTTTTTTTTGTATGCATGAATCAAACGTGTTTTTTTATAATTGTGAGGTTTTTTTTTTGTTTATTCGATAACATACTCAGTAATTTCAAAATTTTGACAACTGTTTCTCGTACTTTTGTTTGTGCTTTATTTCATATACATATATTATCTACAATATAGATATTATTCATAAACATTCACTAAAATGCTCTTATGACCGTTTTTCTTTCCGAAAAAAACAGCACTGTTGTTCAGGAGAATGACAAGACAGTTTTGGAGAGAAAAGTTATTAACGGAGTTTTTCTGTTTCACGTTGTTTTGTTTTAGAAACATGTACTCAAGAAATGGGCTAAAAACTGAAGGCTATGTTATTTTCTTTTTCTTATTTTCTCCCTTTCTTTCATTACTGTTGATATTCTTCTGACATATGGAATTGCCACAAAAAAAGAAAAAGTATAATTTTGACTAATAATTATTTGTTTTTAGTCCTGTTGATAACGTACGGTTTACTTACACGTTTCAGCAACTCATTTCTGACTCATAGAATGACACGTCTTTCTTATGAGTTTACATGCAGAAACCTTGCGTTTTTATTTTGTTCTTCAGATTTCTGTTATATTTGATTAACCACGAACTTTTGCTTTCCACATGTTTGGCTTACAGCAGTCCACCCCGAATGCGAATTTTTTCTCGACACCAAATAATACCAGCCGAAGTACTGCAAATTTTTCATTCGGTGGTAGTAATCAAAATGCCGCATTAACATCAACACCACTTCAACCAACATCATTGTCAACGACATTTTCACTGGCTGGACCAACTTCGAATACGTTTGGTAAGTTTGTCATGTTTCATTAACATTTATTCGTCACTGAAGTCTTATTTAGGTGCAACGACAGCGCCGACTACAAATGGTTCAATTCATAAATTTGAACCTGTCAGTGGAACAGATAAAATAACCAAAAATAATACACAGCAACAAATTCGAACAAAAATTTTTAACATATCAGCGATGACAGTTTATGAAAAAAAATCAATGGAAGTAAGTTTAATATCAAAAACAAGAAAAGTAGTTTATTTATCCTCTTCATATTATAGGAACTGCGATTTGAAGATTATTCAGATAATCGAAAATTTTCGAATCTGTTACAACCGATTCAATCTAACATTACAGGAGCAACACCAGCATTTTGTATGTAAAAATATCATTCATGTTCAACCATTCAACTATTACTTGCTGTTTATGCTTTAGCCACATCGACCACAAATTTGTTCAATAGTAATAGTGCACAACAGCCAACGTTGAATTCAGCATTGTTTAATAAGCCAAACACAACGGTACACTAAAAACGTTTTGTAACCACATTCTAAAATATAGAGCGTAGGTAGTCTGCGGTGTTCTTCAAAAATACAACAACCGTAATAGCTAATATCTTGAAATTTTGCCTAAATGGTTTTATGATTTTATGTCGAGTGCTAGTAGAGTTCATATCATTTTAACTATAAGATGTAAATAATTCTTGGCTTGCTGCAAAGAATAAAATTGTTAGCTGAGATGCAGACGATGTGATTTTTCTTGTAATTATAAGTTTTAATATTTGAGAGATTGTGTGATCAGACTAGAAATAGTTTTAAGCATAATCTGAACGTTAAGAATAAGTCAAGAATTACTTGTAGTACATTATTAAATCAATATGAAATCCACTAGCACTTGACATAAAATCATGTGTGATTGATCAGCATTTAGGCAAAATTTCAAGGTATTGGTACTGTGGCACTGTGGTAGTATAAAAGATGTATGAATCCTCTCACCTTTGAAGAGTACTTGCAAACCCTATCTACTTACAACACCTAAATTTTTATCTCTCGAGACGTTTATAAGAGTGTTTTAACGGCAAATGTACTTTTATTCCAGCCATTTTCGTTTAATAATCCAATGTTGACCGCAACGACAACAAGTTCATCTCCATTTGGTTTGGGTAGTACGACAACGGTAAAGATTTTGAAAGCCTTTTACTCCTTTAGAAGATATATATTTTTTTTCCGTTAGACCGCACCGTTCGGATCGCCTCAAGCATCAACAACTTCTGTGTTTGCATTTGGCCAACCGTCTACAAGTACCGCTGCACCTTTGTTCGGTGGAACAATATCGACGCCGTCAATCAATCTTGGTAAGATGAACCATTTTTTTGATGTCATCGTTGCTGTGGCGGAAGAGGAAAGATAGAGAAATGTTGCATCAATAAAGCATATTTTAGGTTCATCAGCTTTGAATAGTAATACATCAGCAGCTCCATCAACACTTGCGTTTAATTTTTCAACACCAAAAACAGCTACCGCTACAGCCAGTACATTTACATTTAATAGCGGGTTACCGCCAACTCAGCCGACGTTAAGTTTATTTGCACAACCAACAACCTGTAAGTTTAAGCAGCACTACTTTGATTTCACTGACAACACTTTTGTAAATTTTTAGCTAACATGTTTTCTCAACAACAACCAACAGTACCATCGATATTTTCCACAAACACAGCACCATCTACAAATTCATTATTTTCTACCCAGTCACAACAACAGGTTGCCACGTCAGCCTATACGATGCAGCAGCAAACACCATCACAGACACGAACGCAAATTCAGTTATTTCAGACGATGCTCAATGTACAGCCATTCAATAACGAACTCAATTTTCTTGCAAAAACAATCAAAGTTCGTATTAAACCGCTTTCATTTTCGAGTGAATATCAGAAAGTCTACGAATCGAGTTTGATTCTGATACGTGCAGAACGGCCACTCTTGGCTTCGAAATTTTTTACCACTAAAGTACAAATAACTTCTGACTCAAGTAGGATAAAATCCATTCGTGCACCAGAATGTAGCGAAGGCTGTTAGTTCGTCTGTCGTGTACGTTTTATGTATTATCTATCATTAGATAGAAATTAAAGCCATTAAAGCCACTGGGGGGCTTTTTCAGTAAGCTCTACGCAAATCGGCCTCGGTTTCAAAACATGACTTGGCTCGAAATCTACAGAAAACATTGTACTACCAAACGAGAATTCATAACTTTTTTTAAGATGTTTTTAGTAGAGTATAAAAATTGTTCCGAATTGTTTTAACGTTGAGCAAGGTGCTATCTAATCATAAGGCATGTATCTAAGTACTAATGGTCAGACCTATAATCACGAAATTTTAAGTTTCTACATCATATAATCCCAAAAATACAGAAGATCTAATACTTTTGTTCACTAGTGTATCTGCTGTTTAACATTAGTTAAAACAAGTGCACTTTTAAAGATACTATTGAAGGACTAGAAATAACCCGTGGAAAACCACGGACGCCCAGCGTTTCATTCATTTTTCGATAACTGATTTATTAACTAATAATAATTAATACCTCATTTCTGACATCGGATTCGAGCTCAGCACCCTCGATCCCCTTTAGTCAACCCTTATCCGGAAATTCATTTTTCAATTTTTCAATAACTGATTTATTAACTAATGATAATTAATAACTCATAACTCATTTCTGATATCGGATGCGGATTCCCCACCCTTGGTACCCTCTCTCAGTCAAGTTTTAGAGTCGTTTGTGTTTTGTGTTTTACCCAGTACATTGGCGCTGTGTAGTGTCTTGGGAGCGTTCCGGACAGAAGGACAGATATGTCTGAGCTATTCTTATGTATATTAATATGATAGAAAGGTGGATTATAATGAGGCAAAGGGATAAAAATTCTTTCCCAGTAAACTCGAAAGATTCGTATTACTGATTAAAGAAGTTGACAGGCCTCCAAAATGTTTTTGCTCATAGTTCGTTGGAAAAAAATGTTGAATTGCCTCTATTCCTGGTTATACTGGCTGACCATATAAATATTTTATGTTTTTTAGCCCAGTGTTAATTTTGATCGTAATCGGATTCGTACAGCACCGGAACAAGAACAATCACAACAACATGCACCATTATTTCCATCATTTCTCAAACCAAATTCAACGCTTACTCCACATAATAATAATACAAATACAAACACTACCTTTAACGGATTGTCATCGACTACTTTTAATAGTAGTTCGAATTTGACTTTTACAATCGGCCAAAAGCGTAAACTAGCTGACACATTTTTGGATGAAATAGACGATGATGCTACATTTAAAGCTAATGCCTCATTGACAACACCCAAACGTCCTCGTGTTCTAGATATGAATAAAATTCGAACAGCTGTACTAGGTGGCGATAATACAAATCAAGAACAACAATCTATATCAGTGACAAACGGATATCATTCAAATATTGAGCGTGCAACAACGACGATCAATAATAAAAATAATGGATTGGATTTTAGTAATTCATTTAATACAACACACTCAACATCTTTATCAGTATCAAATGGATGGAAAAAATTTGCCACTTATGATGATTATATAGCATCGAAACAAAAGCAGACACCACATACAAATGGCTACCATCATCATTCACCACATAGACTGAATGAAGAAATCATTACAAACGGAGATAGTAATCATCATAACGGCACTCTTAAAAATGGAGAAAATGATAGAGAAGACAGAAGAAAACAGCTTGATATTATATCGACAAGACCAGATTATACATACGAATCATTAACCAACGAGTATACATATGACGACGAATATAAACGATATCGTATTAAAAACTTGAAAATAACAAGAAAAAATTATGGTTCGATTGAATTTCCTGGTTGGACAGATGTCACACAATTGAATTTAGATGAGACAGGTAATGAGTCAACATCTATAACATATCAACTTAGGTACTGAAGAAGAGACGATCGTAGATACTTTCCCAAGAGGCATAGCTAGATTGGTTGTTTCTTTCTGAAATTCACGCAAAGCAACAGTAAACTAGACAAACCCCATATTATGCATATCCCATTTATTATTGTTTTAGTTACTATCGGTTGGAAAGAAATTTGTGCTTATCCGTATGAAGATAATAAGCCCGAAGTTGGACTGGGTTTAAATAAACCAGCTATTGTAGTTTTGTATCGTGTTTATCCATCTTGTGGGCAACGGTCTATAGATGGCACGACAAATCAGCTGATAACAGATCCCGATAAATTATTGTCAATCGATTATCCAACAATTATCAAAGAACAAACGCAGAAAATGAACGTCAAATTTATCGACTACGATATTTATTCCGGAACGTGGACATTTCAAGTGAGTGAATAAAAGATATTTGCATTTATCTCATTCATGCTCATGTACTCTACCTTTTCATTCTAGGTACCGCACTTTTGATAAAAGTCAAACGTCGAACGCTTGCTGTTATTGTTATTTTTTTTTAAATTTGTTGTTTCTGTTATGTTGTTACTAATAAATGTCGATTTTCGACAAGTAGTTGTATATGTATACTTTATTTGTCTCTTTTCTTTTTTTGTATTTGCATAGAAAAATCTATTTTTTTTGTGTTTATTATTTCGTATCTTGACCTATGGTCAAACAAAAACTATATAGGATAATTCCAATCATTTCTTTTCTTTTTTTATATTGTCGGTATATACTCTAAAAACGGTGTTATAGGAAATTAGAAAAAACAAATAAACAAAGAAGACAGTTTTCTCTCCTTCTTTACTCTGTTTTTTTTTATCACAGTGAATAAAATTCTCTTTCTCTCTAAATTCTTAGGTTTTTTCTACTTTCTCTGTTATTTTCCTCTGTTGGTCTTTATCGTATGATATTAATTCTTTATTCGTGCTTTCGGTTAAGGTTTAATTCGTTTGCATGCATGTAATAATGTTGAAAAGAGAAGGACGCACATATATTGTCAACTTTTTTGTTGCTATTCTCATCTGTTTTACAAAAAAGAGATCTATAAAAACAGAAAAGTATAGATAATAAATCGACTCAAAAAACCAGATTAATAAAACTATCCAGCGAAGATTTATAAAGTTGGCAAATGCAAAAAGGGCAAATGCAAAAGTGTTCTTTACAAACAATATTCAAACAAAATTTAGATTATGCTTCAGTTATAGCTAGACATCGAATATTGAGATATAACTTCTAGAAAAGCCCTTGATTTGATTCTCTCTTTTATATGTAAACAATGTGTTTCACAGAAATTTTCTGAGATAAGTATAAAAATACTTAGCATACTTGTAAAGATTGATTAGTCCGCGTACATGCCGATAGTATCGTAAGAATCGATTTACAGCTGTACGAGTATTTTCAAGTTTCTGTGTTGTTTTATCCTATGCATAACAATTGGTGGTAATAACTATAGCTGTTTAAGTTATATGAAACTAATGCTTTTTAAAGAGGACTTAATCATTCATTTGAATGGTTGTTGTTTTTCACCAATAAGAAAAAATAACCGTACAAGCTGCGTATATATATCTTTTAAAGGGCAGGAAGAAATAGACAAAATTTGTTCTTCGGGGAGTTGAATTTACCATCATGTACTTGAATATCTAGAGAATATGGATGTTTTACTGTTCTTATTGTATGAGTCTCTAAAACTAATTGTCAGGGTTGTTCATGAGCTGGTCCCCTGTGACCTGTTATACTTATATGAATGGTAGTGATGCACCTGAAATTAACATCACGAGTGGATAACAGTTATATTATATTGACTTTTTTTTTTGTCTCGAGAAAGTCCTCTTACCTCAATCGACTTGTTACCTATTATTTTTAAAATTTTTTGATTCTGGATCAATTCCACCGGTAATTGTTGTCTCAGCAACAAAGCAATGTACTCTAAAACAATAAAAAAAATCTAACGTTATTTTTGACGTTTAATTTTTCAGCACAATCGATCAACTTATTCTACCTAAAACGATGATTGTAGGATCCTTTGGACATGTTCGTCCCAGCTTTTTTAGCTTTTTCTTCGAGTTATGCGAAAAATTTATGGTTCGTCTATCAACTAGATTAAGAAAAGATAGTCTGTTACTATTTCATAGACCATCTTCAGTATCTGATGTCACTCATAAGATTTTCTTGACTAAAGGAATGCATCTGTTTTTTAGAGCAAAACGAAATGACGGCACCCGGACTGAATGTCGTTGATCCATTTTTACAAAAACCACCAATCATTAGAACGAGAAAAAAACGTTTACAAGAATCATCGCGTTTAGGTCGCAAAGTATCTAGAGAATTAGAAGCATTACCATCTTTGAAAGGTATTTTTTTCTTCTTTTTGTTATGGTTGGCCATAAAATTTTGTTTTTGTTTTTCTTTAGAAACACCCTCTGATCAACAAGAAAAACTTTTTATACAAAAATTAAAACAGTGTTGTGTTATATTTGATTTTTGTGATGCAGTTGGTGATTTAAAAAGTAAAGAGATAAAACGAGCTTCGCTAAATGAATTGGTTGACTTTATTACGGTGACTCGAAATTGCATTACAGAATCAGTTTACCCTGAAATAATTAATATGGTATGAAGAAGATTGGCCTCGAAACCCAATCTAGTTATTTCTCGTTTTCATTTTGTAACAGGTCTCTAGTAATTTATTTCGAATATTGCCACCGATTACTGATGGTGCATCGGATACGGACGCTGTTGAAGATGATGAGCCAACTTTAGAAGCGTCGTGGCCGCATACACAGGTAAAGAAAAGAACCTACGTGGTATAATATATACTCTGTGTTTTGTCTCTTAAGATTGTCTATGAATTCTTCCTACGATTTCTTGAGTCACTCGATTTTCAGCCGAATATTGCAAAAAAGTATATCGATCAAAAATTTGTATTACAAGTAAGAGTCATTATTTTTCTTTTTCATTTGTATCTCATTCTTATTCTATTGTAGATGCTTGAACTATTTGACAGCGAAGATCCACGTGAACGTGATTTTTTAAAAACAATTCTTCATCGAATCTATGGAAAATTTCTTGGCTTAAGAGCATTTATACGCAAACAAATTAACAACATATTTCTCAGGTATTGATCCGACTTTTAACCTTCCTTCTTAAGAAAATAGTAGCAAGGGGAGTCTAGAACTAATTATACAAGAACAATATCTGATTATTTATTTCCGTAAAATTGAATTAAAGAAATTTTCTAGTTCATTCTGTCACTGTGATTTTCCTTTGTATAGATATATATATGAATTTGAACGATTTAATGGCATAGCTGAGCTACTTGAAATCCTTGGCAGGTAATGCTAATTTATACATTCAGTTAGGATTAAAGTAAAATCAATATTTATGATTCTTCTTTACGTTCCAGTATCATTAACGGATTTGCAGTGCCTCTTAAAGATGAACATAAACATTTTTTGATTAAAGTATTAGTGCCGTTACATAAATCTCACAATCTACAATGTTTTCATCCACAGGTAATTTGTGTTCCTTTTACAACTAAAAGACCTATGACATAGTCGTTGTTTTTATCATTTCTGAAGAAAAACTACTATGTATCGCGTGCGTTGCAAAGAAGTCGACTTTGATACAAAGAAGATGAAATGATAGACTTCTGGATGTATGAGACGTTTTTTCTTTTGCAATATTTTAGAAATATTTTTATTCGTTTTAGCTAGCGTATTGTGTTGTACAATTTATTGAAAAAGATTTATCATTAAGTGAGCCAATCATACGAGGTACGCTTTTTAATATTTTATATTGTTAAAATCTTCGAAACAAATATTATCTATGTGCTGACAGATGGTTTACTTAGTCAGTTATGTGTTAGACTAATGTAGACTCAGAAAACAATGAAATCAAAATCGATTACTAACTTCTTTATTTTTTTCTGCTTTCAAGGTTTATTGAAGTTTTGGCCAAAGACTTGTAGCACCAAAGAAGTAATTAAGTACATAACCTTTATTTCAGGTCTACTACAAGTTGCTTTCTATTTATCTAGGTTTTGTTTTTGAATGAATTAGAAGAAATTTTAGATGTGATCGATCCACAAGAATTTAAAAAGATTATTGGACCATTGTTTAGACAAATAGCACGATCTGCAGCTAGTTCCCATTTTCAAGTGGGCTAATAGTTTTATAATGAATTAATAAAAATAACACTGACATATTCTTTTAGGTGGCTGAACGTTCGTTAGCATTTTGGCATAATGAATATATCGTACAACTAATCGAAGATAATTTAGACCAAATTTTACCAATTATTGTATGTGTTCTTACAGACATTTCAAGACAAATATTTATTCTTTCAATTTATGTTATTTTAGTTACCAAATCTATGCCGAATATCAAAAACCCATTGGAATTCAAATATTGTTCAACTCGTTTATAATGTATTAAAATCATTTATGGAACTTAACAGTAAATTGTACGTTATTCTCATCTAAATTTAATATTCTAACTCTATATATTAGTCTTGTTTACAATTTAGATGTAACGATATATTGAACAGTTTGAAAAACGACGAACTAAAGTAAATATATATTATGTTCTAAAATAACAAAATATCAGTGAATTATTTTGTTAAAAACTTTGACAGAAAAGGTATTAACGTTTCGTTATTCAATGAATAGGCGTTACAGACTTCATTTGAAAATTTATGAACAAATTAAAAATGCGAGTTATTTTCACTTCTCTCTTTTTTAAAATGATAAAATATGTTTTTTTTCACCATTTTTGAATATCCCTAGACAATAATATTTTCTTTAATTGAAAGAAAAAGACAATAGCCGCTGAAAAAAACAGTCAATTTTGGATTATTTAATGATATCAGTAATAATTAGTTTTATCATTTATTTTTATTATTTTAGACTAGCGGAAAAACAACAAGCACATAGTGCTCTATGGCAACGATTAGAAGAATTAAGTATTAGTAAACAACGTAATATTGAATGAAATAAATGTAATGCAATTTTTCTCTTGTTTATTAAAACGTTTTGTTTTGCAAACTCTATTTTGAAATTTGTGAAACAAATTATAATGAGTGTAATTTTTTTCTATTCTTCCCATATACTCTAAAGTCTGTTTTACCGTTTCTTTTTAACCCTTCTTGATTAGATAATATTTCTACTTTTTCTTTCATTCGGATTTGATGTGTGTGTGTATGTGTTTGTAGTCTTTTTTGCCGCTCCTAAGATAATTTGACTTTTCTTTTGCCGTCCACGTCATAACATCTTTTGCAGTTAGTATTTTCTTCAATGAAATTGGGTTTTGTTGTTAGGTGATTCCTATGTACTTTTTTTTATTTCAGTCTGTTGTTACTCCTTACTTTATCGGTTCCGGTTTTTCTTCTTATTTTAGGTTTTTCTCTATCGTCAAAGACGATGGCGTATTATTACAGATGTTTTTGTTATTCTACTTCTGATAAATCTACAGCAATCGTTGATCAAGACACATTTTTTTCGTTTTTATTAGTTGTCGCTGTTGTATGCAAATAACACTTGTTTCGATGAATATTCACGGATTTTACTTATCATTAATTTTTTTTCTTTTAAGTCTGTTTGAACAATTAAACAAAGACGCGTACACACACACATACATACATATGTATATATAGATATTTGATGAAATTTTTTCATACTTGATTTTTTCATTTTCTTCTAAATAAACCTTTTCAGCGAACAAAAAAAAAAAACGTTTTCTAATTTGTTCTGTGAACGTCTGAACAATGTGTCATCTTTGTATTTTCCGAAATAAAGGTTACTTTATTAATCTGACATGTCCGCTGTTCGAGCCGTAGAGAGGCATAATATTAAGGGTATAATGAATGTATGAATGCTTTATGAGCAGTATAACAACGATGACATCATTTGAATGTTCATCTATGGTGTGATTATACATGACGTGTTATATCGTATTGAATCGCCAAAATTATTGATAATTGTTCATGAAGACCATATTCTGATGTGAACTGACAAACAGGATCATAAAAACTATCGATCAATGTCGAAGTCTAAAGATAAAAATTGATGTGGATTGTCTATGTTAACACGCTACAGTTGTCCTAGCAGTCTATGATCATAAACGGACAAAATTGTCTTATAAATCATGGAAAAAAAATTTATATATAGAACTATCAGATATACCATCAACGGTCACACCATTAAAATCGATTTACCAAAATATGATGAACAGTTGCTAATGATTTTAAAAACAGAATAGACGGTCGATATTTACATCCAATTTAAATGTTAGTCAGCTGCTAAAATATTTGATTTTGCAGTTCCTAGCGGAAATAATATCACGTTTGAACAACGATAGATGATGTATGAATGTCTAGAGGCTTTTTTTAAATGAACCATGAATTATTAATTTTCAAGACTATCCTTGAAAGAATGTCCTTGGTTAGAAAAAGATGTGTAAAATGACAAGTATAGTTGCTCAACATACTGCTATCCATGCGTCAGTGATTAGTGAGCGAATTAGAATGATTGCCAAGTTTGTTTAATGGAAAATTTGAGAATAATTCAAATAAGACATATGTGCGTGCATAGAATGCTATTGAATTGTTATTGAATTTTAAGAGAATGAGATCATAATTTGCTAATTAAAAAAACGGTCTTATTTCTCACGCGACATTCTAGTTGAAATGGTTTCATTGTTGAAAAATAGATATTTCGCCCAACTAATGTTAGACTACATCAGTATTGAAAACTAGAAAAATGACGGAAATATTGAACAATCGAGTCTATATATGTCGTGTATATTTAACATGGATATGTTGTTTATGCTAATTTTTGTAGTCTATGAATTTATGAACACTTTACGCTGTCGTCAAATCAAGGCTTTTTACGTGAAAAAATGCTGTCCTCTTTAGTGCAACGTAGACTTGTTAAGATCCTTTTTTTAATCATAAACGAGAAATTAGGATTTTTATTACATATCAACCACATTTTTCAATAAAATAAAAATATGACCATGACAAGAGAAGTATAGTATACGATAAAAATGTTAGCTTATCTTCTTCATTTTGAATGATTGTTGTAAATATGTTAATAAAACGAGACCGTTTTATTTGTTGAATCATTTCTATTTGATATTCTCATGGTCGAAAACATGAACAATTATAAATGAAAGGATCAACAAAGATAATGAATATGCTATATTACTTCCAATTGAACAAGTTCCTGGAAAGCATTCTCTAACTGAATTTGAACATAGTTCTTTAGAATCTACGAGCATTATCTGACAAGCTTTTATTTCAAATCTTGATCTTTCACCGGAAGTAAATTTAGCCGTTGTTGAATATGTTGTTAAGTTTGTTTTGTAATCTTTGTCTACGATTGTTCCACCATTACCGTTTTTATCAACAGTTGTCCAAACACTGACATAATAAGTGATATTATTTGGATTTCCCCTAGATAATTTAAAGAAGATGTGGGTGACTTATGAGTTTAATATGCTTTGAGTTTATATTGAAATGAGATATTATGTATACAATGATCTTAAAAATAATCTTTTGCAAATAAAAAATTTTTATAACATTTTCTGCCTTCAGGTATTTTTCAAAAGCTTTCCTGTGTTCGAAAACTTAGTTTTTGACATATTTATGCTCATTGCCATTAGCAATCTATGTCACATCAATTCAAGACGTTTCTTAAGAAACTTTTTTTTTCTAGAAAGATTTGTTAAAAGCGTCTGTTGGCCTATGGAGTTTTTCGCTTATATTACGAAGCTGACGTCTGTTGAGAAGAAAAACGTTTGAAAACATGACAAATCTTTGAAAAACGTCTAGAAAACGTGATAGGGAGCAAGGATTTATTGAAAACCAAAACTTTACCTTTTCTAGATTTTTTATCAGACATAGTCCTAAGTCTTTACTACTTGAAATTATAAATGAGAATCTCTTGTTTTAAGGAATTCTAATAATCCCCGAAGTTAGTAAAACTGGATTTTTTTCAAACGTGTTACCCAAACTTTAGTTATTTCTGATCCGATGTTAGAACAAACACGAAATGTGACACTATTCAATAGGACGTGAAACACCAATTTACATTATGAGCATTCTTTTGAGATGAGTTTCCGAGTTTTCAAAGAGGGTGACTATAATATCATAACTCTTTGGAATTACTAGCCGAATAACGACGTATTAGCTATATCAGGTCAATCAAATGGTCACGTACCCTGGTAGTTTTGGTGCATTCCATGAAAGTTGATAATTATCATCTTGTTGTTTAACCCGTAATTGCTCTGGTTTACTCGGCCTATCAACTTCGCTTGTATAGGAATATAGAGATGAAATTACACCGTCACCAATCGGCTGTGCATCTGCACAAGTAGCTAAAATGTTCAGATATTCCCCAGTAAGAGTTCGTCTAATCAAGATTTTCATCCTTGAATTTTTTTCATGAAGATCGTCATTCAAATGTCGAAAAATGTGTAAAACTCCAAAAATATCTCAGACTGTCAAAATCTTATAGTTCCCTAGTTTCTTTTGCAAAGATCTTGATAATTCTGGAATGACCTTTTCTTTTACATTATTTATATATAACTGTGAATATTGTCATACTTACGAGGGAACGTTCCCAACTGATAAATTGCTTTCGGGCCGAAATCTAGTGGACTATAGGTAGTCGATCATGCTGATTCCGAATATCAACATGAGACGTGCTGATAGGCCTCCAGAGACTGGTTTTCTAGAAAACCAGTTTTCCAGAAACTCCAGAAAATCTGTGAAACTTTTTTTAATAAGTCATGTTTGTAGCACGCAAAAGTCTGATTAAAATGAAACATTCCCCAGCTCTGCACGATCTTTCTTTGCAAAGCTATAGAACTTACAAGAAAAGCCCTAAATTCTTTTTTCCTTTTTCTTGCTATATATCTGAGCTGACATTGAATATTTATGGCTTTTCTTGTAGATTCTATAACTTTGCAAGAAAGGTCGTGTAGAGCAGAGGAATGTTTCATTTTAATCAGACTTTTGCGTGCTACAAGCATGACTTATTAAGAAAAGTTTCGCAGATTTTCTGGAGTTTCTGGAAAACTGGTTTTCTAGAAAACCAGTCTCTGGAGGCCTATCAGCACGTCTCATGTTGATATTCGGAATCAGCATGGTCGACTACCTATAGTCCACTAGGTTTCGGCCCGAAAGCAATTTATCAGTTGGAAACGTTCCCTCGTTAGCTGCGAATTTTTTTCTTTCATTATAGTGGATAATTAGCTCGATCTGAAAAATTGAATCAACTAGAGTACTATGGAAGAAGAACAGACACCTTTTCACGTTCTCATCGTACCTTAATTATTTCTCGGTCATTGTTAACTCTTGATAAAATTACATAGCTACTGATTCGGCTTTTCGAACCGAGACTTGCCTAATTATTCATAAAACTAGATGATATCCACGCTAGTCTAGTGAAGCAAGCTTTCTGTAGTAACATTAAAAAATGATGATGTAATAAGGTACTTACCAGTAGTTGTGTAAGGCGTGCCAGAACTTAACCCTGTAATCTTCACATCGGCTGTTAATGCGGAATGAGCAGATGCCCAAGGTGAGGTTATTGAACCATATATTTGTTGATCTGGTATAGATGAAGTTGAACTATTATCTTCAGTCGTTGCAGCAGTTTTAAAATTACATGCACATGCGGTTGCGCTAGGACATCCCTCAAGGCTAACTGTTAATGTAACATAATTTTTTTCCAACTTTCCGACTGTCATAGTTATGGTTGTTATAGGTATTGAAACGTCAATGAAATATAATACAATAATGACAGAAAGCAGTAGTTGAACAGCTATCATTATGGCAAATATAGAACTTTTTACTGATGATAAATCTCTGTTTTTGATTATAGATTTTCTCTAAATATATCAAATCAAAATAGAGTTTTATAATTAAATAAATATTAAATCAATGGAATTACGAAGATCCAGATTAAACATGTGTCTGTATTCAAGCGTAAAGGAGATGGATGTCCAAATATGAACGTGTAAAATACATTCAAGTTTTTCATTAATTTTTTTTTGTCATAGGAGCACTAGAGGCTGCAAATTTTTTATCTTAAATTTGTCTTGAAAATCACAGTTTGATTCAGTGTAGTTTTTTGCGCTGATTCCGAAAATGACATTGGTTAGCATTAAAAAAATTTATTTGTCCAGAAAAGACAATTTTTCCTGACAACCATGAGATAAAACTCACTATATGGCTCAGACAACGTTAACTGGCACTAATTTTATTGCGATTGTACATACAGAGCAACATTAGCGCAAAGTTTGGACGCAATTGGACTTGTGAAAACCGATGGAAACTCATTACACTTTTCATTAATATTTTCACTACTGAACCTGTTGTTGAGGTTAACATTAGAAAAGAACATTCCCTTACTTCCAAAGATTTCTCGAAATCCCTTTCAAAATCCAAGTATTTTCGATTAATTCCTAAAAATTTTGTTGAAATCGACAACATACTCCAGTCAAAGTGGAGTATATGCTGAAATTTTCGAGTAGTTCGGATCGATTTTGGCCGAGTTATGATTGTTTTAGCTTTCAGAGAAAATAGGCACAAATAGAGTGTTTCATTTATTATAGATTTGAAAACAAACATCCCAAGAAGACGCAGCATAGTCGAAAACCTATGTTTAGAGCTATTTTTAAGGTTATCAAAGCTAAGCAAACTGAGACAAGTAGGCCCTTGAGAAACGCCTGTAAAACCTCAATTATATCTTTTGCAAATTTATATAATGTAATCCATTGGATCGCGATTTCGATTTATATTAAGATTTTCTTTATTTTCAAATAAAGTTTATACCAACCTCAATTATGGTAATGGAGACTTGGGACTTGTGTAGCTTTTTAGAGCGAAGCCCAGTAGTTCGAATCCACGTTTCCGCATTCAAAATCTGGGACTTTTTAGTAGAGCGGATCTTACTAAAAAAGTATTTATAAGGTCCACCGCCTGCCTGTCGTAATTTTATTTTTATTTTCCCATAGATCGATGCCTTCAACTGCTCTCTATCGAATAGCGTAATCCGCACATCTCTAGCTCCTTTCCTTTACGAGTTATTCAAAAAAAAACATCTGCAGATGCTATATTTGGAAACAGATAATAAGATACTGTTTCGAAGATTTTGAATCATATAAACCGAACTTTCGTAAGTGGTTTCGACTTTTTGAAAAGTTTGACCTTATCTTTTCTGACCAACGACGAGCTTGCTCAGTAATCAGTACTTTCAAATTGATTTTATATTTGAGATTACTTATATACATTCATCCCCACAATCTAAGATTGATCAGAAAAGAAAAATGTGTAATGAATATCAATAAAAATTCTTAACGCAGTACGTGAAAACTATTTCTTGACGTAGCTTTCTGAAGAGATGCCATTTCCAACATTTTTCTTTAAAATTATGACGACTCATATCAAATCAAGGCTATGAAATAAAACACTTGAGAATTAATTTTCAACTATCCAACTGTAGGATGAAACGAGCATTAGAGTAATATGTTTTGATTCACTGATTCTAAAGAAAGAAACAAATAAACTTACCTTTTGTTCAATTAAGAACTTGATAATATTGATAATTCGATGATAATATTAAACAATCATTTGTTGAGATGTTCAGCAATTAATCAATTTCAGTTACTTTTTACAATAAAATGTTTTCTATTTACTTGTGAGTTTTTTTTGTATAATACAATCGTTGTTAGAAATGCACGAACAAACAAACTATTTTCTATGATAATGTGAGTAAAGAGCTTTTTATTTTGATATTGTACTGTGCGACATCCAGCTTGTAACGGCGCCAAAGCTCAGTTCGGTAACAAATACTTCAGTTTATGATGAAAACTAACGCGTACCAGAAATTTAATATTCGAGCATATGAAAGTCTTATCCTTTACTTCGAAAAAAGGAAGAGAACTGCGACTAGGAATTAAAAATAGGCTAGGAACGAAAATCTAATACTATTCAGAAACTATTTATCTCAAAATTTCATGGTTACGAAATGAGAACTGCCAGATAGTAGACCACATCAAGTAGCATTTAGAAAGTATTCTTAAGACTTAACGGATGAGTTTTCTTAGAGATGAAAAGGTTCCAGGCAGTGACGGAGCCAGGATTTTGGGCTAGGGGGGCCTGAGCTACCCTCTAGCCAACAACAAAGTTCACTGTATTCTGATAAAAATAAATCAATGCAGCCTCCTACAAAGCTGAAATAAGCTACTCATACCCTATAAAACCTCATTGAAACTTGTATTTTCTTTTATTCAAAGACACAGTTTTGTTCTTGATGTGCTGAATAAACTGTTATTGTTATTAATCTTCAACGCATTGAGGAATTGTCTTGATTATTAAAATTAAAACCTTAAGTTGTATTTTATGAGATATAGTTGATACAAGACAGTTAAAAACTCTTGAAAAGACGGACAATCTTAGCTTTCCGTACAAAAAGAAATAAAATCTCAGAAGTGGGTTTTTTCTTCTTTAGTTGTTCTCGTAGTGCTCTTCTATATAACCAAGGATTTGTTTTAGATTAAAACTAAAAATACTAAACGGATGATTTTTCTTTCCGCAGTCATTGGTATTGCGTTCAAGAAAATACAGCATCCTCTCCTGTGGCTGAACACGAGTCAATGTTTGTATAAATTATCTTTTTTCAGAAACGATTGAATTTAAAAACTAATCTATAATCTAATATATATAACTTTTTTTTCCACTTTAGTTAAAATGTAGATATACGTTTACACTTTACTTAATACACCATAATTACACTAAAACAAATGGTTACTGTTAGTGCTATTCCATGTACAATTGTAAAAAGAGAAGGAATATTTTGCCATCTGTATCATTGAATATATGTGAAAAAAAAAAAGCAAGAAGAAAAATTTGACCCTGCAACGGCCGTCGTGACTACTGCCAACGAAAAAAAATGACCGTCCTAGTCGTTGAACTAACAATAGCATTTTTTTTTTTCTTCTTCTGTACATGATGATGGACGAAACATGAACTGAGAAAAAAAAAAGAAACGCTAAGAATTGAAAGCTACCAGCAGCCAATGTTGTAGAAGACAAATTATTATTATATCTCAACACACAATTAACTGGCGAGTAATGTCTCGGGATTTGTGTCGTGAAATTTCAAAAATGACGAGTAAAACGTTCATTCTGGTTTGATTAATTGTTATTATTTTTAAGACCTACGCTAAATGGCACATCACACACGTTAGTTTCTTCAAGAAATTGTTTAATTTTCTATACAGCTCTTACTCTATATGACTATTTATTCGTTATGATATTCAAAAACTATGAGTATTTATCGCAATGTTAAATGTGTTTGTGTTGGTGATGGAGCGGTGGGCAAGACATGTTTATTAATGAGTTATACGACAAACGCATTTCCTGGCGAATATATTCCAACAGTGTATGTTTCATAAATAAATTTCTATTCTTAAATGAATTGTATTACTTTCTATTTAGATTTGATAATTATTCCGCGAACATTATGGTTGAAAATGAACCAGTTAATCTTGGACTTTGGGATACGGCTGGTCAAGAAGATTATGATAGACTACGACCCCTGTCGTATCCACAAACTGATGTATTTTTAGTATGTTTTTCAATAGTAAATCCAGCATCCTTTGATAATGTACGTGCAAAATGGTTCCCAGAAATAAAACATTACAATCCCGAAACGCCTATTGTCCTCGTTGGAACAAAATTAGATTTAAGAGAAGATCGAAATACAATTGAAAAACTATCAGTAAGTAATGGATTCACTGAAGGATGAATTAATGGCATGATATTTCGTTTTTTTTAGTCACGTCGAATGGTACCAATACCTACTCAAAAAGGTTGCATAATGGCACAAGAAATACACGCTGTTTCATATATTGAATGTAGTGCATTAACACAAAAAAATCTTTCTCGTGTATTCGACGTGGCGATTCGTGCAGGCTTAGGTAAATTTCCAAAATTAAAACAGAAGAAAAAACATCATTGTCTATTATCATAAAATAAAATTCATTCTATTATAACGTCAAATTGGTTTATATTATCCTTCATGCATATTAATTTCGTTAAAATAACCATTTGAAAATCTTATATTTGAAAGTTGTTTAATATATATTATATGTTGACCTTTTTCATCATATAGTTCAACGTCGTCTGTATTGTAGTTTTGCTGTTATGAATATTTGTATCAGATTGTATTCAAATGTACCTAGATATTGAACGATTCTTAAAACTAGATCGTTCAAAACTAATTTGAGTTCTGCTTTAAATCTGCATTGTTGACTTGAGTCTTTTATATGTGAAAGCTTCGAGTTGCAATTAGTATCTTTTATAGCTTCGTAAATTTCAATATTTTTTCCCGCTAGGATAATGTCGAATAGGTTCTCATAGCCCGGCTACATAGTTGTTTTTTTTGATTTTTTTATATAAATTATACTAAACAATTCATGTTTTTTATATAGGCGAACGTTTTTCAAAAAAAATTGTTTTATCATCTAAAAAAAAAATATTGCTTAAAAATCCCATTGTCGGTTATAATCGATTCAGGACTCTTCATCGAAAAGCGATTGCGGCAAAAATAGAACATATGAAGGCTCCCGCCATAGCTCGTATTGGAGAAAAATGTTTGATCTACAAACCGCAGTTGTTAGAAAATTTTTAATATACGTACTTTTCATGCAATTCGTTTCAGAAAAAAACGGTGAAGTTTATCTATTATAATCGGTGCATGCCTAATAGCAGATTACGAAATATCCTTGCTTAACAAAACTAGCAAAATCAACAGAAGAATTAGAAAAAGATTTGTATGGTTCTTTCGCATATTGAATGCTTAAATTTAAAGGGATATATAGTCCTCGTTTCAGAATCCAGTATTGTTAACTATACAAATAAAGATCTCAAACACAAATTAGAAAATGCTAATTTAGATAGAGTGCATCAGATTTTGTTGAATGCCGACAAGAATCCAACAGGTTCCGACAAGAAGGCTGCAACGGTTAGTCGGAATTTTCAACCTGACATACTGTCTGTTAGGGCTGTAGAGACTCCTAAATACTATAATAACTCTCAAACAGCAATACAAACATAAAATATTTTACTCTAAAAGAAGAATTAGTCGATTACTTACGATTAGAAATAAAATCACCAATTAATCGCAGTTTTAACTATAATTGTCCATAAATTCCGATATATCGGCGATTTTTAACAACTACTGATCAATCGGCTTGCATGAAAAATCACCAGTTGTTAAAAATCACCAATACATCGCCATTCTTCAAAACATCGCAAATTAACTATGATGATTTTTCTGTTTTTCTAATAATAGGTCATTTAATTGCGATTAATTGTTGATTTTAAGCCATTAGATGGTTTTTTGTTATTCAACGTTTTATTCTGCAGTAGAATAAGTATATAAGAAACATGATTTTGACGATAAATATTCTTCTTTTGAGATTATCTTTTTAGTTTAGTTTAAAAGGAGTTGCCAAGAGTGTTCTCTGTAGTTTCCTCAGAGCTAACTCACTGTTTCGATTTGAGTCAGCTTTGAACTGAGTTGACTGTCAAACTAAAAACGCGCCAATTAATTGACGGTTAAGCGCATGATAAATCGGCTGATTAAGCGCTAAAAAATCGGCTGATTAAGCGCTAAAAAATCGTCGATTTATTGCCGATTTTGACTACATGGATTCTTACTGTAACGATCTGTGTCAGTCAAGTCTATTTCTAAATTATCTAAAAGAATTGACACGCTGTGGGCATACAATTAATTGAACCTTTTTAGATCTTTTTTATACTACTTCTAACGGTTCAGAAGTGTTGACTGACAATCTAGAAATCGGTAGCCCCGCAACAAATTTCATGATACAGCTTGGCACAAATTCTACAGTTTACTTAAAGACTAACACCATCTATACTGACTTAAAGAACTAACTATAAATACCTGGATTTAATGTTACACACGGTATATATTATAATATTATTTGGCTACATAATTTTTACCGGCAACTCGGCCATATTCGTTGCACTTGCTGCAATCAATCGCAGCAACAGCATCTATAAATATTAAAATCAAACTGCATTAATGACTAGCGTGAGAGTAGTAATATATTATATGGTTGATTTAGAGTGACATACTCAACCTAGGACTGTCCCAATCATGAAAATGAGGAAATGCAAAGCGAATTTATTGTTATAAGGTAGACGAGATCTCCATACAACCAGAATGTTAGTATTACAGCACCAAGGAAGATTGATAGAATCCACCGTCGAAATAACGGTCACGCTTTAAACGACCTATCCCAACGTTTCAAACCGATCTTAGATTGAAATTATCATTTCAGTCTGTGAAAGAACCTCAGTAACTATCAAAGTTTTAAGTTCTGAACGATAATGTTGTTCAAATGTTAGTAAAACCTAATTATCGAGCATAAAAATATAGCGAGAGTGAGTGATCGAAAATTTTAAGCTGATTTTGAGCTCCAGTGTATTGATTGATTAAGATTCTTAGCATAGTTGCCAAAGTGCTAAATAGTTTCTTTTAACTGCGGCTAAGATTGAGCGCATTATTTACTGATTTTTCTTCTATAGACTTAACATGATCTTACGTCAAATTTTTGTTCAGAAGTCATGACTGAATCTCTAAATGAAGAACAACGTCAAATTTCTTTGTTTTAGATGTCTGCCAGTGCTCTGGATTCGTTATGTTCTAATACAATTTCTTCTCCTATTGAAACATATATTTGTCAACAAGATGTCTTAACAACAACAGCGAACACATACACGCTCCGAAAAAATATTATTTCAGAGAAAAACAAGCATAGCAATGAAATTGTACCCTTGTTAAGCACAAACACAGATAATGTTGACGAACATTCAAATTGTTCAGAACACAGTGTCGAAATTCCGGAGCCGTCAGCTTCTTTATGTGTAAATCGTAGCAAAGAAATACCAGAGCAGCCGCATTTGTATACGAATAAACAAAACTCAACAACAAATGATAATCACGACAAAAATGACGATTTCTCGGATGCTGCATCATCTAGTAGCAGTAGTAGTAGTAGTAGCAGTAGCAGCAGTAGTAGTAGTGCTACGACACTGGATAATGAGGAAGAGGATGAATTAGAAAAAATTTCATTCGAATGGATTCAAGAACAGATTCGTGCTGGTGCAGATCCGAAAACATTATTGATGAAATTGATGCCTGGTCTTCCAGAAGATATCTCACAGAATGTTCTTTCCGATCTTTTATGCGAACTGTTACTTCCTGTGCATAAACGACAACGATTAGAACAGTATAAAACATTGAATGATGCTGTTAATTTACTTCGAACATGTAAAAATATAATCGTATTGACTGGAGCTGGCATCAGTGTATCGTGCGGTATACCTGATTTTCGTTCCAGAAATGGGATTTATGCATGTTTAAAACAACAATTTCCTGACTTACCTGATCCACAAGCCATGTTTGATATGGAATATTTTATGTATGATCCACGACCATTTTTTCAGTTTGCCAAAGAAATTTATCCAGGTGAAAGAGAAGCATCTTTAGTTCATTGGTAAGTGTACAACGAATATCTTCAGTGTTAGAAACGATATATTTTTTCAATCTCATTGTTTGTTTCTTAGGTTTATTAAACAATTAGAAACGGATAATCATTTGTTAAGAAATTATACGCAAAATATCGATTGTCTTGAACAACTGTGTGGCATTAACAACTTAATTCAATGCCATGGCTCATTTGCAACAGCAACGTGTAAGTAATTCATTTATTGAAAATATTTTTTGTTCGATTGAAGACAACTAAAGAAGCGCTTCAATCGGTCTTTGCTCTTTAACTTTTGCACTAACTAATTCAAACTAATTTTTGTGTATTTACAGGTTTAAAATGTCGTAAAAAAGTAAACAAATCACATATAAGAGAGAGGATATTAAATCAACAAATTCCATATTGTGAAGAATGCAATTTAGAAGATGCTATTTACAAGCCGGATATCATATTTTTTGGAGAACCGTTAGGTGACTAGATGGCTTGGTCATCTGCGAGATCAGAGTTATTTTGACGTTGATTTCATGTTATAGGTGAAGAATTTCATACTAAAATTTCTAATGATAGAGAAAAATGTGATTTATTAATTGTTATTGGCTCAAGTTTAAAAGTACGTCGTATTTTAAATCAATCGTTGTTTCTCTTCCACAGTCTACTATAAAAGAAGCATGGCATCTCTTTTTTGTGGGTTGTTTGTTTTATAAACTAAAGTTGATCCAAGTTTTATTTCATTGTTGCTCCACTTCTGACAAACTATAAGTTATTTTCTGTAAAATCTTTCATCTTAGAAAAGGAAATTTATTTTATTTGTTACTTTCTCTAGGTTAAGCCAGTTTCACTTGTCACTGAAATGTTACCATATCATGTTCCACAGATATTAATCAATCGTGAAAGTTTACCACATAAAAATTTTGATATTGAACTACTTGGTAACTGTGATGCGATAATAAATGAATTATGTATCAGATTAAGTCAATTTGATGAATCTTATAGTCAAATAAAAAAATTGCAAAAAACAAATTTATTGAATGAAGTTTTGTATCAGGACTATGTTAAAACATTAAAACCAAATAAACGAAAAAAACAAAGAACATCGTCACCATGTTCGACCGTTGAAATACCAGTCGTTATTCATCAAGAGAATGATTTAACAGTTCCCTCGCCTCCTTTGTCAGTCACAAATGAGCAAAAAGATGCCGACTTATCAAATGTAGAAATAACACCTGAAACAGATATAGTCGAGTCTTTAACAGCATCGGATGAAAATGATACACGAACCCGATTAAAATCTCTGCGTCAACGTCCAACAAAACGCACTGTTCTAGTCAAAACTGAACCATGTACATCAAATACAAATAATTTACGAAAACGAACAATTTCAGCAGTGAAACGTTTTTGGTCAGCACCGCCTAACTCGTATGTTTATTGTCCACCCAATCGGTATGTATTTGAAGGTGCCGATATTCTATTGTCGGATGACGAACAAGAACAGAATCAAGATGAAAATCAGAATGTATGAGAAACCATACGACTTTACTATAATTCATCATATCATGTGTTTTTTCTTTTGTATCATTTTGTTTTGTGCCACTTCTTGCGGTTTAAATAAATTTTTCTTTTTTTTGTCCGTTTCGTTGTTGTTGTTGTTGTTTTCTTTCCTTTTGTTTAGTATTGAAAATGGTTGTTTCCTTTTCTTTTGTTATATTTAAAAATATAAATCGACTTAGTTTCAACATATATTTAAAACATGGCACGACAAACAACAAAGGTCATTTTACTGATGCGATGACAAATAACTCAAAGATAGTCATTTCATGTAATTTTGACCTAGATAGCAGAAGCGTTCTGTAGAAAATTATAAAAAATCACTTGTAGATCTAGAAAAGAATCAAATCACGACAATTCTGCTTGACAAGCGTAAAACAATACCTTTTTTTAGGGTTTTAAAGCAAAATAAAGCAGCTGAACATAGTATCCAAAGCCTTACATCATTAATATTTACGCTAAAATTCACTTAAACCAACTATTCAATGTAGTTGTGATTTAAAATGACATCAGGAAAAAAAATGACACGAAATAATGAATAATTACGAGCAACATCAGGTTTTTCACCGTCCTATGTGTTCCACTTCCTAAAACAAACAAACAAAGAATTACTTGGTCTGATCGTGTCGATATCTGTCCCTGCAACAAGATTGCAGAAAAATATTTCTACAGAATAAATACTTGAGAGATGAACATTTGCATCTAGTTCAAATTCTTAGATAGTGAACAGAATGATCCTTTGCCATGAAAAATTAATGAAAAAAACCAAATAAACTCGATTGCATTATTGTATCGTCAACCTTCTCATTATCAGATATATCCAATAATTTAACACCAGATGATTTTATTGAACCTATCAATCTTTATAAATAATAGACAAATAAACTCTTTCTTCCAAGATAGTGGGTTATACTTATGCTGAATAAATTAAATCAAAAAAGACCAATATTGCAATAATACTTGCCGAATCAAACGACTGCTCATTGTGATATCTTTGAATTATCTCGTAGTTTACTCATCAGCAGTGCGTTACATTCTTTTGATGTTGGTTGGCTAGTAACTCACGTCAGACTGTGTCAGAAAGCATTTAATGTAACAAATGATGGTTTTAATAACGCAGATGCCGAATGATATTATTAAACGACAGATTGTACACTTATCATATACAAAATTATGTGGACTGTAATAAAAACTAGATTCAATGAACAAACATGAATTAAATAATATTTAAAAAAGATAAATACTATTTGTAGACCGATTTCTGAATCTTTCGATGATTAAGAAATAACATAAAAAGCAGAAATAGAAAAAACAACTCATTGAAAATTTTTCTACGAGAGCAATCTCAATACAACGCGAAATTTTTATTTTTTTTTAAAAAAACGCTTAAAAACACATTCTTTTTATAGAAAAAATTAGAAAAAAGGTGATTTTTCCCAAAACAATTAAAATAGCAGAAAAAACACCGGCGTTTTCTTTAGTATTCGAAAAAAAACTCGTTTAAACGCTGCTGGAGGAAAACGCATTGATCTTCGTTTTACTTTTGGTTGTGTTTTGGCTACCACATGTTTTCGTTTAACGTTTACCGCTATGAATATGAACAAGGCACAGACTTGCTCTTCCCGTTTTCCCTCGTCTGATATGTATGCAGTTAAATATATGTAGTTCCAGAACGTTTCTTTTTAAAACTCGCTGAAAGTAAAAAATGAGATATGGTGTTTCTCTTCGCTTTCCATTTAAACGCGTAGGAAAGCGTTCTCTCATATAATGGTTTCAGTGTGTTGAGAAAGAAACGGAAAGTAAAACGTTTTTGTAGTTCCTTATTTCAACGCTTCTACGAAAAACCGGATTAGAGGTGTTTTTTTATTTGCTTATTTGGTGAGATAAGTCACGTAGAAAATTTGGCAATGAGAAATAGCCCGTCTTCATAAACGCTCAAATAACCGATGTGTTATTTGCACAAAGCCGATATTGGAAATAAATGAAAAAAATGTCAGCATATAGACGAACCAATTTTCAGACGTTCCATCGTTTAAATCATACTTTTGCTAATGAATCGGTTGAAATTGACATATCGAGCTAGAAATATGAATATGGACTTCTATTCGTATGTGCTAAAATCTTTATTAAACCTACAAATAATAAAATTTCATATACTAGCCATGTGATGCTAAAGTTCTGTGATTCGGAACAAAAGTACAGCATAAGAAACAATTCATTGACCCACAGCAACACCTTGCGAAAAGAGTAAGAATACATCAGTAAGAAATAAAAGGGCTATTTAACTTGATCGTTTCATTAAATGGTACTTCTTATCACTGTAAGTACGTAAAGTATTTTCGTAAAACTTCTCTATCTATGACTAAAAGCACGAACATACTTACAAAACAGTAGCATATATCCTTTTCTTGTAAACAGTCGTTTTTTTTCCTTCCTTTGAAAAAGGATGTTTGAATGATCAATCATCTTAAGGGTACTCCCCCCCCCCCTCTTTTTTCACCTTGTTGCCAAATGCGGAGTACATGTCCGATTGAGCTCAAATTTATAGCAGAGATAGAACATCGAAAAAGAAAA